CAAGTACCTCGGAACTGTATTTACTAGTGATGGAAAATTGGAGGAAAAGATCGACCGGCGAATTGGAGTAGCCAGTGGCTTTCTGCGTGAACTAGCCCGACCCATTGTGACTAAATCAGAGCTCAGTTTGACCCGAAAGATGAAGTATTTGTGGAAAATGCAGAACAAGAAAGTATAAATTCCTCATCTCCTCCAAAATAATTATGATGAAGTAGAACGTGTATCCTCTGTGAAATATCTTCAGGTAGCTCCATCGCAAAATCTTCCTTTGTCTGAAGCTGATTGCTGATTAAATGTGGAATTTAGAATTTTGCGCCATCTTATTCTTTAGAGACAAGTGCGGCTTCGAAATCAGCAGCATTTGTCTCTAAAGAATAAGAAATCACTATGCACCTTTTCAGAAATCAGCATTCAATTCATCTGTTCCTCCTATAGTTTTTTTCAGGTTTCTGAAAATTAATCATCGCATTCTGTCCCAGGCTCTCGTGGTGATAGCATGAAATGGATACGTCGATTTGGAAATTCCTCAAAGAACTTGCACAACGCATTCTATCACATTATCCTCACTTTGGCACCGGTGTTCTCTCAAGCAATGACCATCCACTTCATTTAGCTCTATCGTCTTGTATATCCCTGCGCATTAGCAGAAGATCAAGGACAATGAACATCTTGTGTTGGACAGAACAGAATTAATTCACTCGTTTATGCAATGACTCATAATGAAAGGCAATGTATAACGTCGTTTCCTGAAAGACGACGTATACAATTGCTTCAAGTGCCTACCGCTTACCGTATGCATAGGTACTTAGTGACGGTTGTTCTGGGCTGCAAGATAGTGCTGTTCAAGCAATAAGAGACATTCAGTTCAGCAATTTGACTAGAGCTGAAAATTTCTGACAAGTCTCTTATTTTTAGATATACATTTTATGTCTGAAATCTATCCAGAGGATGGATAAATAACGAATTTCAAATATAATCACTTATATTTTTAGATCAGTTTAAATTTGTCATAACAAACTCATCATGAAAGGAGACATTTTTCCTGACTTTAAATATTTCTGAATTAAATTTAAGAGATTTCAACTAAACAGTCTCGAAGGTTTTGCTTTCTAGTTTGTTTTGTACTCTGATAATTTTGAATTAAACTTGTGCATTCTTTCAGGGTTCTGTCAAGGATGAAATTCGTCAATACGGTTTACTGACCGAAACAGTGGTTCGCAAGTATATGCGCCAAATTTTGGAGGGATTATGCTATCTCCATCACTACGACATTGTCCACAGGGATATAAAAACTGCGAACATCTTGCGCGATTCTCATGGCAACGTAAAGATCGGAGATTTTGGAGCTGGAAAGCGTTTACAGACAATATGTAGCCAAAGTTCAGCAGGGACGTTCATTGGCACCCCTTACTATATGGCTCCAGAAGTGATCAACGGTCAAAAATATGGACGTAAAGCGGATATTTGGTATCTTTTCTCAGCTGTTTTTTGTTTATGCAATAATTAGTAGTATGCTAGGAGTCTTGGCTGCACGCTGGTTGAAATGCTGACCGGAAAGCCACCGTGGAAAGACCTTGAACCTATGGCGGCTCTGTTCAAAATTGCTACCGAGCCACCTCAATACGTTTTACCTCCTTACATTTCGGAACAGTTCACCAATATTTTGACTTTGCTGTTCATGTGGGAGAGTGAAAACCGACCGTCTGCGAAAGAGGCACTTAAAATTCTGTCCAATGCCGTGACATGACGCTTCGTGGCCCTGTCCGTTGGTTCAGGATTTCACATAAACTCTGATTCATTATAAACACTTCTCAGGAATGTATGGTGTGTTCTCCAGGATGAGCGGGCAAACCTCTGACCGAAGAGAGAAGGCTCCTTTCGGCAGTTTATTATAAACATTAAAAGCTGTTATGAACGCTTATGATGCATGAATGTACGGCATTTACGAACTTTTGTGTGTGACTCTTTGGCTCGACTATCGCTTCGCAGTGACAGTGCTGTAGGAGTTCATGGAAGAGTTTAAATCGTCGATCTAAATATTCGCGTTGTTCTTCTTATTACTTCAAATGTGATTGACAAGTTCCCTATGCCAATGTGTTCTACGTTGAGGAACATTATGCATAATGACATCGCGCAAAATTTTTTGGTTTCAAATTTTAACGATGTCATATTGTAGGAAACGTTCAGGATGTGAAGTTATTTGTTGATTGAAAATAAATGT